TAAATTGTTCGGGTTTTTCATCTAAAAAAAAGCAACATTAATTTCGTGACAACCTAATACAAATTTTCACTTTTGCATTTTGCAGTTTTTATGGGTGTTTTCGCGTTTTTTACCACTGCTTCACTTGCTGTTAATGGATCTTCACAAAATTTAGCATGAAGGTTTTTTTGGGTCCATGCGGAGATACATGTGGCAATCAGAGAGCAATGGATTATTTCTTTGTTGCAAAGCGCAAGACTACACAATGGACTATTTGTGCTCTGCCCAGCGCGCGTATTGAAACACAATTTTTATCGTTATAATCCCTTAGACCAGGGATTCCCAACCTTTTTGTTCCTCTGTACCCCTTGGCCTTGGGCATTCTGACAGGTTCCCATGTACCCCTAAAAATTAAGGATCAAAAATTGATTAATTATATTGATTTTATTATGCTATCTGTATGTGTGGACTGCATAATAATCTTATAGTATTGATAACATCGATAAATTGAACTCAGCATATATTTATGTGAGCCATTTGCTCTCTTTGTCTGACTGTAGATTAAAACACCATGTAAAGAGTAAACCATGGTTATACTCTCAGACCCCTGTGTACCCCTGTACATGTACCCCAGGTTGGGAATGTCTGCCCTAAACATACCACTGAGTCACCGGGGGGGGGGGCGTTGGAATACAGCGAATGGATTATTCGGGTTACTAAAAATATCGTTTGAAGCTAAAATAAAAGAGATCTTGAACATATAAAAAAGAAGCCATTTCAAAATATTTGGAGCGTTAACAGATTATACGGAATAAAACTATTTTATTTTTGAAACGTTTCTATCACATCTTACAGAAAAAAAGAAAAATAGATGGCGTACCTCGTGCTCAGGTTCTAATGTTAGAGCTTTATTGAAGTAAACCAACGCTTGGGTAGCCTTCCCCTGCTCCAAATATACCACACCTAACTGAATATAATGAAAAATATTTCCAATTACTTTTCGAAACACAACAAAACATTATGTAACAGTGGATATAAATTTCCCAAAATGAAACGATTACAAAGAAATGAAAATAGCAAATAGATTTAAATAGAAAAACTGTTACCTTATACAGTCGCCAAAAATATGTAATACAAAATATAAGCAAAAAATTGATTAAGCTAAAAATATTTTGTTAATTTGTTCATCTGGATTAGTTTATCTTCAATGACTACAAACCCAAAATATGTTTTAAAGAATTTTTAGTATACGTGAATAACCAATGGTTAAGGCTAATTGAAAGGAATGAGCGGCAGAGGTCGCCACTGAAAGTTTGACCACGCTAAAACCTTACGTTATAGTATATATCTGGGTTATTGCTGTCAAACTGCAAGGCTCTCTCGTACACATCTTGAGCTTCTTGGGTCCTGTTACAAAAAAAAGTAGAACATTAGCAACTGATGGTGAAAATAACAATGAAGTATTGTTATGTAAATTACATTGTTTGACACACTTCTTACGGTTCACGATACTTTTTTTTTCTATGGACTGGACCAGTAATATCCGTATATTGTAAAATACCCACGGACCAGTTTTCCAAGTAAAAAAAAAATCTCGGACTACTTTCTGTACTTCTATGTTCTCGTCGTCACAGTAAATTACGTAGGATTTTAAACAGTAAATTAGGTAGAACTTCACACAGTAAATTAGGTAGGACTCTACACAGTAAATTATATAGGACTCTACAAGTTAAATTAGGTAGGACTTTACACTGCAAATTAGGTAGGACTTTACACT